TAAACAGTAAACATGAAAACAAATATTTTAAATAGTAATGTGTTTCTAAGGAAGGAAATAGCAGTGTGGTTAGAGATTGACTGGGTGGAGGCTACTTAGGTGTAGGAAGCTCTCTAGAGGGAGATGAGACCAGAAAAATGAGAATGAGCCAGTTATGCAAAGAACTGGGGAAGAGCATCCCAGACAAAAGGAATAATAAGAGCGAAGAGTTTAGGATGGGAACGGCTTGGCATATTTGAAGAACCTGGGAGAAGCTGGGTGGGGAGAATTGTAAAAGGTGACATCAGAGAGTTGGACAGGGAGCCAGACCATAAAAGGCCGTATAAGCTATGGTCAGGGGTTAGAATGTTATTTTGAGTGTGATCCGAAGCCATTGAATGAGTTCAAGAAGGGGATTGAAATGATCTGAAGAGACTGATATGATCACATGTTAAAGAGCTTAGTGTGGGTTATAGGTGGAGAATGGATTGGAGGGAGCAAGAGTGGAAACAAAGACACCAGTTAAAAGACTATCACAATAGTACAAGAGATGATGGTGGTCTAGGCCAGTGGTCGGCAAACTCATTAATTAACAGAGCCAAGTATCAACAGTACAACGATTGAAATTTCTTTTGAGAGCCAAATTTTTTAAACTTAAACTATATAGGTAGGTACATTGTTATTAACTTAATTAGGGTACTCCTAAGGCTGAGGAGAGCCACACTCAAGGGGCCAAAGAGCCGCATGTGGCTCGCGAGCCGCAGTTTGCCGACCACGGGTCTAGGCGAAGATGATAGCACTGGAAATAGAGAGAAGCAGATGTATTCAGGTAGAGGCTACTGAACTTGATAAAGGAATGGATTGGGGGTAGGGGTTGGCAATGAAAAAAGAGGAATCAAAGATCATTCCTAATCTCCAAATAATTATGCTGAGTGAAAGAAGCCAGAAAAAAGTACATACTATATGATTTTATGTATATAAAATTCTAGAAAATGCAAACAAATCTAAAGTGACAGAAAGATCAGTGGTTGCCAGATAGTAGTTGCCATGAGGGAAACTAGGGAGGAGGCAGAAGGGAGGGAGTACAAAGGAGCATTAGATAACACTTGTGGTGATGCATATGTTTATGATCTCTTAATTGTGGAGATGGTTTCCTGAGTGGGAACTTAGTAAATTGTATAATGTATTTAGTTTATTGTATGTCAATTATACCTCAATAAAGTTGTTTTAAAAGGAAAACAAAGACTCCTAGGTTTTAGACCTGAGCAAACTAGTTGAATGGTAATGTCTTTTACTGAGAAGAGAAAGTTAATTCTTATGATATAGCCTGCATGCAGTCTTAAAGCCACTCTGTAGGAATAATAAGAATAATCCATCCCCCTGTAAATAGACCATATTAATTGAGAGTATAGGTCAGAGACCCAAAATAGCAATGAATGAAACAATATAGAAGCTTATTCCTCTTTGTCACAATCAACCTGGCATATGCAGTGTAGGGTAAGTACCTCATTCCACAATGCCAGAGTTCCCCGCCCCCTTCTATCTTATCTATATGTTCCAAAATGACTCCTCACCACCAGGTCTGCAGCCTAGCTAGAAGGAAGGGGGAAAGTAAGGGCAAGCTCACTTCTTCTCTTTAAAGGCATGTCCTAGCCCTGAACAGTCTGGCTTGGTGGATAGAGCATCAGCCGGAGAGAGATAGAGAGTTAGAAACATCGATGAGAGAGAAACATCGATCAGCTGCCTCCAGCACATCTCCTACTGGGGATGTGCCCGCCACCCAGGCACATGCCCCTGACCGGAATCGAACCCGGGACCCTTCAGTCCGCAGGCCGACGCTCTATCCACTGAGCCAAACCGGTTTCGGCTTTTAAATTTTTTAAAAAAATAAAGGCATGCCCTAGAAGTTGTAATAGTTCTGTTGATATCACATTGGCCCAAAAAGAATCACATGGCCATTCCTGGCTGCAAGAAAGGCTGGGAAATGTAGTTATTATAGACAACTATGTGTCTAGTTAAACACCAGGAATTAAGTTATTATGAAAAGGAAATAGAAAACAGTTATTGTGGGGGAATGAGCAGTTTCTGACATCAGAGCTTTTCAGCTTACAAAATCATTTGATTTTCACAACTTTGAAAGATAGACTCTGAAGGGTTCATTCAGTTTGAGAGGAAGTTTAGCAGAATGGTTAAGAGTATAGGCGTTGGAGTCTGACATCCTAGTCAAATCCTGTTTCCGCCAAGGATGTCAGACTCCAAAAAATTACTTAACTTCTCAGAGCTTCAACTGTAAAATAGACACAATAATAGTACCCATCTCATAGGTTGTTATGAGGGTTAAATGCGATAATGCATGCTAAGTGCCTAATATAGTTGTACCTAATCAACATTATGTGTCAAGTATGGTGAACCTACAGATAGACAAAAGAGCAGTTCACAGTACAGTGGGGGATTCAATAGAGAGTTATCATCAAAGAATATGAAAATTCTGCTGTAGAGGAAGTGACCACATGAGATTGGAGAACACAGAGGGGAGGGCTCCCAAACCAGAAGTTTTGGAGGGAAAATGGGAGTTTGTTGCAAGGAAGGGAAAATGGCTATTCCTAGAAGAGAGACAAAACACCAAGGTGAGAGCCTGGTGTCTTCAGGGAAATAAATACAAGTTGTTTGATATGGCTGAAGCACAGAAGCATGTTAACCACTAAGAGAAGGGACAGAGATAGATGAGGGCCAGTGGTGGAGAACCTTCCAGATCAAGCTCAAGAGCTTGGGTTTTATCCTATGGTCACTGAGTGCAATGAGTGCTGTAAGCAGGGGAGTGACTAGTCACATTTACACTCCAGAAGTTACCATGGCTGTTTTAGGTGAAGTGATTCCCAAAAGGCAAAGAGAA